TCATCGTTACTGTTGGGGAACGAGGAAAAAAAAGAAAAAAGGCCCTTTTCAGGGCCGCATATGTATCCGTTGAAATATTATAATTATTCACGATTATCGTGAATATCGAATATAGAGTTTCAACGACGGAATAATAAACTATATTATTATTTAATTTATAGTATATAATAGTAATAATATAAAAAAATCATAACTATCTCAACACACTTATGTTCTCATCACTCAAATCACCTATGGTCGTCGTCCATATCTTATGTTCTAAATATTATACACATATTACATACATAATATTTAACAGCATTTTAAATAAATTTAGATAATCGATACCTACTATTACTAATAATAATAATGATGATACACGTATGTACCTCTGTCTCTCTACGTGTACATTACATACATACATACATACATTGCATATTATAATATGTACAATCATCATTTCGATAATCGTATCATCATATTCATCCGCTGCTATCGTACAATTATACAATAATATTATTCATAATTATCGAAAATTATGTCCTTATATTATATAATACATAACATAACGAAGACAACAACCACTACGAAGACGATTATACTATGCATTCGTGTACGCGGCCTTTGCTTCTCTCCATACTCTAACATCCCGGTGTGTGTTTTACGAGACCAGACTTCGATGCCGCATTAACAGTTCATAGATAATAAAAGACGATGATTATTCCATGGGCCTGAAGGAGTGATGTCTTCGTTTTCAATTAATCGATATCACATTACGCTATACGCTATTCTAAATGAGAAAAATAACTTTTAAACGAGACGTTACCTACGTCCCGAAAGGTATATAGAATTCAAACGTCTATTAATCTATGCTAACTACGTTTATAATGTTATTTATTGTTCACTACGAAAGTTAGTTTTAAGATTAAACATATTGCATCTTTAAATTTATATAAACATATATATTATATTAAATAAAACATATAAAACGGATGGATGTTAGTGAAAAGTTAGAAGTGTTCGTACGTGAAAATGTTTAGCGACAACACGGTTCTCGTTACGGCATACCCGATTGTTAAATAACTACTAGCGACATCTCCGGCTATCATCATAGTTATATTTGTTTATAAACTGTGTCTGTGTGTCTGTGTGGTGTTGTGACCTGCTGAGAAGAATAATAAAAAAAAAAAAAAACATTAAAAAAATGGCAGATACCGCAGTTGCATCTGAAACACCGGCTCCGGCTACGCCTGCGAAGAAACCGAAAGCGTCAGCGGCCGCCGCCGCCGCTGCGGCCGGCTCGAAGAAACCTAAGGCTAAACCTACTCATCCCAAGACAGCTGAAATGGTAAACAACGCCATCAAAGAGTTGAAGGAGCGCAGCGGTTCATCGTTACAGGCTATCAAGAAATACATCGCCGCTCAATATAAGGTCGATACGGAGAAATTGGCACCGTTCATAAGAAAATATCTCAAGAGCGCCGTCGAGTCCGGTGCCCTGATACAGACCAAGGGGAAGGGTGCTTCCGGTTCATTCAAATTGGAATCTAAATCATCAGCAGCCAAGAAACCGTCGTCGGGTGGTGGTGGTGGTGGTGGTGGTGGTAAGGCAAGTGGTGGTTCCGCCGGAACCGGTAGGGCTGCAGCTTCGTCGGCATCCGTTAAATCTAAGAAAGCCGCCGCAACGGCATCGGCGGTGGCAGCGAAGGGAGGTAAGAAAGGCGGTTCCGTAGCTTCGTCGGCTGCATCTTCGCCGTCCAAAGCTAAAGCATCGGCGGCAGCGGCCAGGGATAAGAAAGCGGCCGCAGCCGCAGCAGCAGCTGCCAAAAAGAAGCCGGCCGCCGCTAAGAAAGGTTCCGCAGCCGCGAACGCCTCTGCCGCATCCTCCGCGACAGCTTCTAAGGCGAAAGGTGCAGCATCCAAGGCCAAGAAGAGCGCCAAACCTCCCACTAAGAAACCTAAAGCCCCGAAACCGAAGAAAGCATCCGCCGGTACCCCGAAATCGAAACCCGCAGCTAAGAAAGCAGCAGCAGCAGCGAAAAAGTAATAATTTTTGTATTGCTTTATCTATCGCGACGGCGGCAGCATCGGCACCGTGAGTGGTGAGCGCGCTCGGGGGTTGTAGACTTACGATGATACAAGTTCATTATAGATAAGAGATTCTAGATCATCGGAATGTCTCTCGGCGTCCCCCCGTACTCTTCAACGTTCGAGGAATCTACGAGAGTGACGTTCATCTTACAGGCACGCGTCGCAGATACGAAAGAAAAGAAAAAAAAAATACATATATAAAAAGCCCTTTTCAGGGCTAACATATATTTCATTATGAACCCAATCATGTCGGAAACTTAGATTTCGACACAACGTTGTGTTCTCGTTTTCCGAATGACAAAGATCGTCTCCTATAATAATAATAATAATAATAAAATATATATATAAATAATAATCGAATACAAGATAACATTCACGAAAATAGCGAACAATTCAGTAATAATATTATAATACGATAATAACAAAGTCAGTGGTGGCCAATTGGTTAAAAGGCCGCCCGCCTCTCATGCATGAGGGCGCGGGTTCGACCCTGGCAAGAATGACCAATGTGATTTTTCCAAGTTATATATTATGTACTTTCTTAGAGTATTTAGACATCACTCACTGATTAATGTTGATTCCCAAAGAGGGTTGTTGATATCAGGCAGGCGGCCGGTCATACATATAAACAAATAGCCAAATTATTCTTATAACATGTAAAACAGACCCTGGCTACAGCTGGAAAATTGCCAGGTAGAAGAAGAATAACAATACTGAATACATAGTATTAGACATATTAAACATTCTTGTTATAAATAAATAAAGATATTATATTATGTTGTTAGTATTATAGAAAATATTAGTTACATTGTACATAGCAGTACATAATTTTGATAATAATAATAATAATGAAAAACACCATATAAAACATAATAATGTAACACTGGTGACAATTATTTTCTTTTAACTCACTTTTGGAAACCTTTATGACTCTTGTACCATTTACGATCGAGTAATCGAAATCTTCAATAAAACTATAAGGAATGTATAAAACTATACTTTAGTACTATAACTATAAGGAATATGTAAAACTAAACTGTGTTCAAGAAACGGTAAATAAGAATTTATTAGCTGCACAACATAATATTAAAGAAAAAGGATATCGTATATAAATTTAAGTATGAACAATATATATATATATATATATATGCTTTTCCCGCATCTGCTGTGCCTAATAATTCAGATATTGACTAAAGCAATTCATTTGTTTTTTTTTTGTCTGTTTTCAAAATATATGTAATTAATGAATATCTTAATTACACCATATGAATTGATAAATTCCGTTTTTATTTGATATACTTACGCAGTTTATTGAAATTTCATCGCGTACGATTATTTCATTGAATTTCAAGACAAAATACTATTATTTTTTTTAGTCTATAGTACGATCCTCTAAAAAAAATGTCAACACTGATTGGAAAACCCTCCCGCTTCTCTCCGCGTCTACTTTAGCTCGTCATTCGTCTATATCCCCACCCCACCGATACGTGTAGACGTATATATAGTAAAGAGCCGCGCTACGGTTTTTTTAAATTACTCTCTGCCAGTCGCGTGTGTTACGTTATTATATCAAAAGGTTAATATATTCGCAACAATGTCTGGACGTGGTAAAGGTGGTAAAGTTAAGGGAAAGGCGAAGTCTCGTTCTAACCGTGCAGGTCTACAGTTCCCCGTCGGTCGTATACACAGATTGCTGAGGAAAGGAAACTACGCGGAGCGCGTCGGTGCCGGTGCTCCCGTTTATCTCGCTGCCGTTATGGAATATCTTGCTGCTGAAGTACTCGAATTGGCCGGTAACGCTGCCAGAGACAACAAGAAGACCAGAATCATACCTAGACATCTTCAGCTGGCCATAAGGAACGACGAAGAGTTGAACAAGCTTCTATCCGGTGTGACCATAGCTCAGGGTGGTGTACTACCAAACATCCAGGCCGTATTATTGCCCAAGAAGACGGAGAAGAAGGCCTAAAGGATTATCATTGATGATCATCGGACCGCACCACCACCACCATCACCACCACCACCATAATCATCATCATCATCATCGTCGTCTCCGTCTACATATATACTAATGTAATGGGTATATAATATGTAATGGTTGATGTGATGTTTGTTTGTATGCATGTATACATAGTCATACATCCAATTGATGTTTATTTAAAAGGCCCTTTTCAGGGCCACAAAATAAATCGTTGTTTAACGTATATATTTTATATAATATACGAACAGTTCCATCGATACGAGACGTCAATTATAATAAGTAATATTATTATGTATTATTATTTAACGTATGTATATGAAACTACCTAAGTATATAATTAATTACATATTATACAATTTCTTTCAAAAGCAATATCATGATAATAATAAATTAAATAACTGATAGTAATCTACTTTTCAAAGTCGATAGATAATCTCATAATGCTATTATTTATTATTAGTTTTCAAAATAAACAAAAAATAACACAAAGCACTTAATGACCGAACGGTAATTAGTTTTAAGTACAGGTAATAAAATAATAATAATTGGAAACACTGACATCATAATTTTTATGACTCTTCTATTGTTATTATTATTAAGTACTCTTTATTTAATAGACTGTTTTTACATACTCTTATTTTATGATTATTATGTTATGATTATTATTTTCAAACCGAAACCCCCCTCCGCCCCGCCCCTCCCCCCCCCCCCCCCCCCCCCCCCCGCAGACGGAAAACACATCGGACCCCACGGTCGGAACCGACGCTTCCTATTGGTCGGTCCCCGGTGTGGACGTGCGTGCTCGATACGTAACTACATACTTGAGCATAATGATACACACTAGACCCTGGGTTGGATATTTTTTTACAGAATAGCTTACAGTACTCCGTACCGAAAGCACCGTTGAAGTCAATCGTTGTTATAATAATATATCATATTATAATCAAACATGCCGCCTAAAACCAGCGGTAAGGCAGCCAAGAAGTCCGGCAAAGCTCAAAAGAACATCTCCAAATCCGACAAGAAGAAGAAGAAGCACAAGAGGAAGGAGAGCTACGCTATCTACATCTACAAGGTTCTGAAGCAAGTGCATCCCGACACCGGTATATCAAGTAAGGCCATGTCGATCATGAACTCTTTCGTGAACGATATATTCGAACGTATAGCCGCCGAAGCGTCACGTCTCGCACACTACAACAAGAGATCCACCATAACGTCCAGGGAGGTCCAGACCTCCGTGAGATTGTTGCTGCCCGGCGAGTTGGCCAAACACGCCGTCAGTGAAGGAACGAAGGCCGTCACGAAGTACACCAGTTCCAAGTGAGGAGGAGAGGAAATGAAATGAAAAATATAATATAACAAAGGCCCTTTTCAGGGCCATTAAAAGATTCACATGAAAAGAATAATAATTTATTATTATTCCTTATATAAGTTTCAACGCATCGAACTAAACATCTCGTTGGATTTTATTATAATATTTTTAATAATTACATTAAATCTTTTAAGTTATGGCGTAGAGTTAAATATATCATCGTCTTGCGATATCTATCTATGTCAGAAAATACATACTTATAATTATTAAAATCAATTTGGAATACGCGTTATAGACATTTAAATTAATATAAATGTTGTATACCTATATATTAACGTCACTGACAATATACATATATGTATATATCTATAACTACTATATACTACATATTATATTTTCTAATGCTATTACAGCGAATACGAAGACGACCGTGTCGATTTAGTGACCAGAAGCATAAACCCGAACCCCTCGAACGATCCCCGCCGACTGCCTCTACGGAGTACGTATATAAGAGCCGGTCGGTTTATTTACGGCTATCATTATAGTTCGATCCTCGCTGTAGTGCACACAACTGTAGTCCGGGTTGTCCGTTGTTTCATCGCGTACCGTGTCAAAGTTATTTTTATCTCAATAATGGCTCGTACTAAGCAAACAGCTCGTAAATCAACCGGTGGTAAGGCACCACGTAAACAGCTAGCAACGAAGGCGGCCCGTAAGAGCGCACCGGCAACCGGAGGAGTCAAGAAGCCTCATCGTTACAGACCCGGTACTGTGGCACTTCGTGAGATCCGTCGCTACCAGAAGAGCACGGAACTTCTCATCCGCAAGCTACCTTTCCAACGTCTAGTGCGTGAGATAGCTCAAGATTTCAAGACCGATCTTCGTTTCCAGAGCTCCGCGGTGATGGCCCTGCAGGAGGCCAGCGAGGCGTATCTCGTAGGTCTCTTCGAAGACACGAATCTTTGCGCTATTCACGCTAAACGCGTCACTATTATGCCTAAAGATATCCAGCTAGCAAGAAGGATTCGCGGTGAACGTGCCTAAACGTCAATGAGTGTCAATTGTGTTGTTTCTTTTTATACGTGTATGTGTCTAAATAGTGGTGTGCATTTTTGAATAATGATATGTACATACACATTCAAAGATCATCATACGTAAATAAATAAACAACACGATAACAAATATTAATTAAAAAAGGCCCTTTTCAGGGCCGCATATATATCTGAATTAATAAGTTATCGTTTCATACAAACGAGAACGTCTAAACAATCATAATATTCCGTAAAATATATTATTAAATAAAAATAATAATGTTAAGTTACGCATGTATGTGAGTACACAGTATTTATTTAACACATAGCTACAGTATTTAGATTATGTAAGTAAAAACACTTGTATACAATAAACTATGATGAGACGCACAAAGTTATTATCGTAAAGGATACAATAAAATAATAAATATGTACATGCATTCTGGAAACAACAAGTCGTGATTGTCTTAGATGGCAGGAACTTCCATTGAAATACATATGTAAATATACTGCAGGTGCCTCGCCTCTCTCACTGGTCCGTTCCTTTCTGAAAACGATTTATTGATATGTATTTTATTTTATTTACATATAATTAATGAAAATAATATTTATTGCAAAATTTTACTGAGACATTACTCTAGAGACATGCGCCCGCCGCGGGGTCCGGGGAGGGCGATACAGAGTACCCTCCTCCCCCCCAACCCCGGGCCCGTCCCCGTACATAACACTCGTACGGTCCCCGTCCGCCACCCCCCCTCCCCCGCCGCACCCCGGTACACGCTATAAAAAGGACGGTTTTGTGGCCCCGTACCGATTATACTCAGAGATCTACACGCGTCGCGCATCGCGATAGGTAACAATCGTGTGTGAAGAAACAATAGCATCAACTACACTACATCATGACCGGTCGCGGTAAAGGAGGAAAGGGTCTGGGAAAAGGTGGAGCCAAGCGTCACAGGAAAGTGCTCCGTGATAACATCCAGGGCATCACCAAACCGGCCATACGTCGTCTGGCAAGAAGAGGAGGCGTCAAACGTATCTCCGGTCTGATATACGAAGAGACCAGAGGCGTACTCAAAGTGTTCCTCGAGAACGTCATCCGCGACGCGGTAACGTACACCGAGCACGCTAAGAGGAAGACCGTCACAGCCATGGACGTCGTGTACGCCCTTAAGCGTCAGGGACGCACCCTCTACGGTTTCGGCGGTTAAAGCAGCAGCAGCAGCCATATCCTCCGATATACACACACGAAGACGACGACGTGATATAAAGCAGCAAGTGAAGAGTGTGGTGGTGGTGGTGATGATGATGATTCCAGTGTGTCTCTCTCGTGTGGTGTGCAGATCATCCTATTATTCTGCCCCCCTCACACCCGCCGCCCGACTGCCCGACACTTCCTTCCACTCACTCTCTCTCACTCTCCCTCACCCTCACCCTCACCCTCTCTCTACTTACTCGCTTTATATCACGACGCGTCATCGTTACTGTTGGGGAACGAGGAAAAAAAAGAAAAAAGGCCCTTTTCAGGGCCGCATATGTATCCGTTGAAATATTATAATTATTCACGATTATCGTGAATATCGAATATAGAGTTTCAACGACGGAATAATAAACTATATTATTATTTAATTTATAGTATATAATAGTAATAATATAAAAAAAAATCATAACTATCTCAACACACTTATGTTCTCATCACTCAAATCACCTATGGTCGTCGTCCATATCTTATGTTCTAAATATTATACACATATTACATACATAATATTTAACAGCATTTTAAATAAATTTAGATAATCGATACCTACTATTACTAATAATAATAATGATGATACACGTATGTACCTCTGTCTCTCTACGTGTACATTACATACATACATACATACATTGCATATTATAATATGTACAATCATCATTTCGATAATCGTATCATCATATTCATCCGCTGCTATCGTACAATTATACAATAATATTATTCATAATTATCGAAAATTATGTCCTTATATTATATAATACATAACATAACGAAGACAACAACCACTACGAAGACGATTATACTATGCATTCGTGTACGCGGCCTTTGCTTCTCTCCATACTCTAACATCCCGGTGTGTGTTTTACGAGACCAGACTTCGATGCCGCATTAACAGTTCATAGATAATAAAAGACGATGATTATTCCATGGGCCTGAAGGAGTGATGTCTTCGTTTTCAATTAATCGATATCACATTACGCTATACGCTATTCTAAATGAGAAAAATAACTTTTAAACGAGACGTTACCTACGTCCCGAAAGGTATATAGAATTCAAACGTCTATTAATCTATGCTAACTACGTTTATAATGTTATTTATTGTTCACTACGAAAGTTAGTTTTAAGATTAAACATATTGCATCTTTAAATTTATATAAACATATATATTATATTAAATAAAACATATAAAACGGATGGATGTTAGTGAAAAGTTAGAAGTGTTCGTACGTGAAAATGTTTAGCGACAACACGGTTCTCGTTACGGCATACCCGATTGTTAAATAACTACTAGCGACATCTCCGGCTATCATCATAGTTATATTTGTTTATAAACTGTGTCTGTGTGTCTGTGTGGTGTTGTGACCTGCTGAGAAGAATAATAAAAAAAAAAAACATTAAAAAAATGGCAGATACCGCAGTTGCATCTGAAACACCGGCTCCGGCTACGCCTGCGAAGAAACCGAAAGCGTCAGCGGCCGCCGCCGCCGCTGCGGCCGGCTCGAAGAAACCTAAGGCTAAACCTACTCATCCCAAGACAGCTGAAATGGTAAACAACGCCATCAAAGAGTTGAAGGAGCGCAGCGGTTCATCGTTACAGGCTATCAAGAAATACATCGCCGCTCAATATAAGGTCGATACGGAGAAATTGGCACCGTTCATAAGAAAATATCTCAAGAGCGCCGTCGAGTCCGGTGCCCTGATACAGACCAAGGGGAAGGGTGCTTCCGGTTCATTCAAATTGGAATCTAAATCATCAGCAGCCAAGAAACCGTCGTCGGGTGGTGGTGGTGGTGGTGGTGGTGGTAAGGCAAGTGGTGGTTCCGCCGGAACCGGTAGGGCTGCAGCTTCGTCGGCATCCGTTAAATCTAAGAAAGCCGCCGCAACGGCATCGGCGGTGGCAGCGAAGGGAGGTAAGAAAGGCGGTTCCGTAGCTTCGTCGGCTGCATCTTCGCCGTCCAAAGCTAAAGCATCGGCGGCAGCGGCCAGGGATAAGAAAGCGGCCGCAGCCGCAGCAGCAGCTGCCAAAAAGAAGCCGGCCGCCGCTAAGAAAGGTTCCGCAGCCGCGAACGCCTCTGCCGCATCCTCCGCGACAGCTTCTAAGGCGAAAGGTGCAGCATCCAAGGCCAAGAAGAGCGCCAAACCTCCCACTAAGAAACCTAAAGCCCCGAAACCGAAGAAAGCATCCGCCGGTACCCCGAAATCGAAACCCGCAGCTAAGAAAGCAGCAGCAGCAGCGAAAAAAGTAATAATTTTTGTATTGCTTTATCTATCGCGACGGCGGCAGCATCGGCACCGTGAGTGGTGAGCGCGCTCGGGGGTTGTAGACTTACGATGATACAAGTTCATTATAGATAAGAGATTCTAGATCATCGGAATGTCTCTCGGCGTCCCCCCGTACTCTTCAACGTTCGAGGAATCTACGAGAGTGACGTTCATCTTACAGGCACGCGTCGCAGATACGAAAGAAAAGAAAAAAAAAAATACATATATAAAAAAGCCCTTTTCAGGGCTAACATATATTTCATTATGAACCCAATCATGTCGGAAACTTAGATTTCGACACAACGTTGTGTTCTCGTTTTCCGAATGACAAAGATCGTCTCCTATAATAATAATAATAATAATAAAATATATAAATAATAATCGAATACAAGATAACATTCACGAAAATAGCGAACAATTCAGTAATAATATTATAATACGATAATAACAAAGTCAGTGGTGGCCAATTGGTTAAAAGGCCGCCCGCCTCTCATGCATGAGGGCGCGGGTTCGACCCTGGCAAGAATGACCAATGTGATTTTTCCAAGTTATATATTATGTACTTTCTTAGAGTATTTAGACATCACTCACTGATTAATGTTGATTCCCAAAGAGGGTTGTTGATATCAGGCAGGCGGCCGGTCATACATATAAACAAATAGCCAAATTATTCTTATAACATGTAAAACAGACCCTGGCTACAGCTGGAAAATTGCCAGGTAGAAGAAGAATAACAATACTGAATACATAGTATTAGACATATTAAACATTCTTGTTATAAATAAATAAAGATATTATATTATGTTGTTAGTATTATAGAAAATATTAGTTACATTGTACATAGCAGTACATAATTTTGATAATAATAATAATAATGAAAAACACCATATAAAACATAATAATGTAACACTGGTGACAATTATTTTCTTTTAACTCACTTTTGGAAACCTTTATGACTCTTGTACCATTTACGATCGAGTAATCGAAATCTTCAATAAAACTATAAGGAATGTATAAAACTATACTTTAGTACTATAACTATAAGGAATATGTAAAACTAAACTGTGTTCAAGAAACGGTAAATAAGAATTTATTAGCTGCACAACATAATATTAAAGAAAAAGGATATCGTATATAAATTTAAGTATGAACAATATATATATATATATATATATATATGCTTTTCCCGCATCTGCTGTGCCTAATAATTCAGATATTGACTAAAGCAATTCATTTGTTTTTTTTTTTTGTCTGTTTTCAAAATATATGTAATTAATGAATATCTTAATTACACCATATGAATTGATAAATTCCGTTTTTATTTGATATACTTACGCAGTTTATTGAAATTTCATCGCGTACGATTATTTCATTGAATTTCAAGACAAAATACTATTATTTTTTTTAGTCTATAGTACGATCCTCTAAAAAAAATGTCAACACTGATTGGAAAACCCTCCCGCTTCTCTCCGCGTCTACTTTAGCTCGTCATTCGTCTATATCCCCACCCCACCGATACGTGTAGACGTATATATAGTAAAGAGCCGCGCTACGGTTTTTTTAAATTACTCTCTGCCAGTCGCGTGTGTTACGTTATTATATCAAAAGGTTAATATATTCGCAACAATGTCTGGACGTGGTAAAGGTGGTAAAGTTAAGGGAAAGGCGAAGTCTCGTTCTAACCGTGCAGGTCTACAGTTCCCCGTCGGTCGTATACACAGATTGCTGAGGAAAGGAAACTACGCGGAGCGCGTCGGTGCCGGTGCTCCCGTTTATCTCGCTGCCGTTATGGAATATCTTGCTGCTGAAGTACTCGAATTGGCCGGTAACGCTGCCAGAGACAACAAGAAGACCAGAATCATACCTAGACATCTTCAGCTGGCCATAAGGAACGACGAAGAGTTGAACAAGCTTCTATCCGGTGTGACCATAGCTCAGGGTGGTGTACTACCAAACATCCAGGCCGTATTATTGCCCAAGAAGACGGAGAAGAAGGCCTAAAGGATTATCATTGATGATCATCGGACCGCACCACCACCACCATCACCACCACCACCATAATCATCATCATCATCATCGTCGTCTCCGTCTACATATATACTAATGTAATGGGTATATAATATGTAATGGTTGATGTGATGTTTGTTTGTATGCATGTATACATAGTCATACATCCAATTGATGTTTATTTAAAAGGCCCTTTTCAGGGCCACAAAATAAATCGTTGTTTAACGTATATATTTTATATAATATACGAACAGTTCCATCGATACGAGACGTCAATTATAATAAGTAATATTATTATGTATTATTATTTAACGTATGTATATGAAACTACCTAAGTATATAATTAATTACATATTATACAATTTCTTTCAAAAGCAATATCATGATAATAATAAATTAAATAACTGATAGTAATCTACTTTTCAAAGTCGATAGATAATCTCATAATGCTATTATTTATTATTAGTTTTCAAAATAAACAAAAAATAACACAAAGCACTTAATGACCGAACGGTAATTAGTTTTAAGTACAGGTAATAAAATAATAATAATTGGAAACACTGACATCATAATTTTTATGACTCTTCTATTGTTATTATTAAGTACTCTTTATTTAATAGACTGTTTTTACATACTCTTATTTTATGATTATTATGTTATGATTATTATTTTCAAACCGAAACCCCCCTCCGCCCCGCCCCTCCCCCCCCCCCCCCGCAGACGGAAAAAAACATCGGACCCCACGGTCGGAACCGACGCTTCCTATTGGTCGGTCCCCGGTGTGGACGTGCGTGCTCGATACGTAACTACATACTTGAGCATAATGATACACACTAGACCCTGGGTTGGATATTTTTTTACAGAATAGCTTACAGTACTCCGTACCGAAAGCACCGTTGAAGTCAATCGTTGTTATAATAATATATCATATTATAATCAAACATGCCGCCTAAAACCAGCGGTAAGGCAGCCAAGAAGTCCGGCAAAGCTCAAAAGAACATCTCCAAATCCGACAAGAAGAAGAAGAAGCACAAGAGGAAGGAGAGCTACGCTATCTACATCTACAAGGTTCTGAAGCAAGTGCATCCCGACACCGGTATATCAAGTAAGGCCATGTCGATCATGAACTCTTTCGTGAACGATATATTCGAACGTATAGCCGCCGAAGCGTCACGTCTCGCACACTACAACAAGAGATCCACCATAACGTCCAGGGAGGTCCAGACCTCCGTGAGATTGTTGCTGCCCGGCGAGTTGGCCAAACACGCCGTCAGTGAAGGAACGAAGGCCGTCACGAAGTACACCAGTTCCAAGTGAGGAGGAGAGGAAATGAAATGAAAAATATAATATAACAAAGGCCCTTTTCAGGGCCATTAAAAGATTCACATGAAAAGAATAATAATTTATTATTATTCCTTATATAAGTTTCAACGCATCGAACTAAACATCTCGTTGGATTTTATTATAATATTTTTAATAATTACATTAAATCTTTTAAGTTATGGCGTAGAGTTAAATATATATCATCGTCTTGCGATATCTATCTATGTCAGAAAATACATACTTATAATTATTAAAATCAATTTGGAATACGCGTTATAGACATTTAAATTAATATAAATGTTGTATACCTATATATTAACGTCACTGACAATATACATATATGTATATATCTATAACTACTATATACTACATATTATATTTTCTAATGCTATTACAGCGAATACGAAGACGACCGTGTCGATTTAGTGACCAGAAGCATAAACCCGAACCCCTCGAACGATCCCCGCCGACTGCCTCTACGGAGTACGTATATAAGAGCCGGTCGGTTTATTTACGGCTATCATTATAGTTCGATCCTCGCTGTAGTGCACACAACTGTAGTCCGTTGTTTCATCGCGTACCGTGTCAAAGTTATTTTTATCTCAATAATGGCTCGTACTAAGCAAACAGCTCGTAAATCAACCGGTGGTAAGGCACCACGTAAACAGCTAGCAACGAAGGCGGCCCGTAAGAGCGCACCGGCAACCGGAGGAGTCAAGAAGCCTCATCGTTACAGACCCGGTACTGTGGCACTTCGTGAGATCCGTCGCTACCAGAAGAGCACGGAACTTCTCATCCGCAAGCTACCTTTCCAACGTCTAGTGCGTGAGATAGCTCAAGATTTCAAGACCGATCTTCGTTTCCAGAGCTCCGCGGTGATGGCCCTGCAGGAGGCCAGCGAGGCGTATCTCGTAGGTCTCTTCGAAGACACGAATCTTTGCGCTATTCACGCTAAACGCGTCACTATTATGCCTAAAGATATCCAGCTAGCAAGAAGGATTCGCGGTGAACGTGCCTAAACGTCAATGAGTGTCAATTGTGTTGTTTCTTTTTATACGTGTATGTGTCTAAATAGTGGTGTGCATTTTTGAATAATGATATGTACATACACATTCAAAGATCATCATACGTAAATAAATAAACAACACGATAACAAATATTAATTAAAAAAGGCCCTTTTCAGGGCCGCATATATATCTGAATTAATAAGTTATCGTTTCATACAAACGAGAACGTCTAAACAATCATAATATTCCGTAAAATATATTATTAAATAAAAATAATAATGTTAAGTTACGCATGTATGTGAGTACACAGTATTTATTTAACACATAGCTACAGTATTTAGATTATGTAAGTAAAAACACTTGTATACAATAAACTATGATGAGACGCACAAAGTTATTATCGTAAAGGATACAATAAAATAATAAATATGTACATGCATTCTGGAAACAACAAGTCGTGATTGTCTTAGATGGCAGGAACTTCCATTGAAATACATATGTAAATATACTGCAGGTGCCTCGCCTCTCTCACTGGTCCGTTCCTTTCTGAAAACGATTTATTGATATGTATTTTATTTTATTTACATATAATTAATGAAAATAATATTTATTGCAAAATTTTACTGAGACATTACTCTAGAGACATGCGCCCGCCGCGGGGTCCGGGGAGGGCGATACAGAGTACCCTCCTCCCCCCCAACCCCGG